AGGACGCCTGACACCTTTCCGCACTATTCATCTTTCAGCCTTTTAACATTACTCCCAACTGCCCCACCCAGACTGGTTCATGGATGATTTACCTTAATGTTAAAAAAAGAGGTCAGTGATCCTCACTTAAATGGGATACTTCCTAATTTGGGGCTCCTAATTTTCTGTTTTTCCTTAAAATGGGAACTCTACACTATGTAAGCTTCATATCCCATGAACCTGAATTTGCTCCTATAAATCAGGATCTCTTATCTATTGTAAAGGTCCTGTGTAGGCAGGTTTTTTACTTCATGGGTTGAGTGTAGATGTATTTCAGTAAGTTGTCTTTGCCGTGATTTAACAGACATTAGTTCAGAAACATTTGTTATGAAATTAAAAGCAACCTAAATGACTCACCTAGAATTCCACCACCTCACCAGGCCACCCATGTCTATTTTTCTGTGGCACCTTCCAGGTTTGTCCACATAGTTTTTGTCCACATAATTTTATGAGATTGTGGGACCAGCAGTTAGCGTAATGGCTATGTCGCTGGACTCCCACATAGTCGACCGTGGTTCGCGTCCCGGACCTGGTGGCTTAAAACTCACGCCGGGCGCGTGTGCATGCGTGCCCAAGATCCTAAGAGGAGAATGGAGGAGAAGGGATTGCGGTGTGGCCATCCCCCATGGGGGGTGATTTCTCGCTTTCTGTCTCTGTCTCTCTGGCGAGCACACGTGCCCTATAGCAAAAACTTCTCAAAAATTTTTTTTTATGAGATTGTAATTGATTTAGGATTTTTAAAAAGCTTTATCTTGATAAACATGGTCCAGTTTACAAAGTTCAACTTACTGTACTACTCTCTGATACTTGCCTCTTCCAAATGTATACATGAGGTGGCCACATCACAGCAGGGAAGGGTCAAAGTCTGGCACTTCAGTGGCACTTAGGATGATGACCAGTCGCTCAGGAGGATAAAAAGATGCTGAACTGTCAGGACCATATCTGGCTTGTTCACCATTGCATGCTCAGTGCTTAGCTCAAGGTCTGACATCCAGAAAGTATTTAAATATTTCCTGAGTGACTGATTCTGAACCTGACTGACTTGTTTTTTGGGGGTATAGAGCAAAATCCTAGATAATAGCAATTGACTTACTATTTTCTTAAAGTAGAACCTTGATTAGTTAATTAATTAAACTAACAGGTGTGTACTGAGCACCTGCTATGACCAAACATAAGTGAATCACTTGGGACTGAGAGATCTGGAGCAAATGAACTCTTTTCCATCCTTATCCCAGGCTGATTATTTATGACCTGAAATAAAGAGAATGGAGAAGTTCTTAATCTTTAAATCTTTTAAAAGGACACAGCCTTATCTTTCTAGAACAGCTGAGAAATAAAGAGAAAAATGATGTTGGGAAAAAGAAGAATTTTACTTAGGGAATGCAGAAAATTAGAGCTCTTTATTAGTTTAAATGGCTCTAGAGGATTATGACACCGCGTCTGAAGTGTCACATCTACTTTAAGTGTTCCTAGTTTAACAATCCTAAAGGGATACTCATGTTAGGGTTCAGTTAGCATAATGTCACACATGCCTTCCTCCAGGATCAGAACACTAAGAGAGGGTTCTTGTGGGCCTGATGTGAGACTAAGGCTCAATCACTTGCGATAGCTGACCTTGTAAAAGATGGAGCCCAGCTTCTTCCTGCCCTTGGGCCACTGCTACTAGGCAATTGCAGTTCCTGGCAAAATTCAACAAGACAAAAATCCCAGAGTTGTTTTTCTTCAAAATAATTGATTTAATTTCTTCTTTTACAAAAAAGACAACAAATTACATTTCACAGAATGCTGTTTAGGTTATTAGGTTCCCGTCAGAGCTGTTTCGCAATACGTGTTTACATAATCTGAAGTGAAGGCAGCAGTGGACTGTAAAACTGGAGCCAGCCAAGCCAGCTTTTACGCATGTGGGGATTAATTTCACATTAGATCACAAACTAATGTAACTTATTGTTTAAGCATCAAGTACATTTGGATATGGTTTTAGACATAGTTTAAAAGAATTAAAAAAACAGCACCACCAGATTCTAAAAAGCAACAGGTCAGTGTTTTGTAAAGAAAACTTATAGCATCAATACTTTCTGCTCTTATCACAAGCTCATTTGACATTTTGAAGAATGATATCTTAATAAGTCTCCAAAGTGAAAATTTTCTAAAAGCATTCTATTTGTAATGCCCAATATGTTACTAATTATTTCTCCTATTAATTAGTTGTGCTTTGCTGTCCAAGAGTCATAGAGGTGAATAATGCAGTGTGTTAAAAATGTAAGAAAGAGAACAATAAATAGCCCACAGTTAAACACATCTCGTAGTTATCAGAGAAGAAGTTCACTGAAAAACTGCTTGTTTCCTTTACAAACACTATTAAGATAGATGATCCCATTTGCAGGTGAAAAGTGCCAAGTATTTAAATGTTGGACAGTTACACAGAGAGGCTGAAAATGGGTCAGCTCCCTTTACCAGCACTCCCTGAGGAGCCTAACCAACAGGGATCAATCTGTTTCTTTAACACTCCTCAGAATATACTACCTTATATCACGGTTAACTATGTACATCATTCAGTTACTAGACTGAAAGTTCTGTTAGGATATAATTGTTGTCTCCTCCAAAGCACTATTATATAATAGTTTATTCAATTATTTGTAGACATGGATAAATCAAAATACAAATAAAAAATTCTTTCACTGAACTCCAAGGAAAAACAGAAAGCTCCTGTCTTTCTACAGCTAGTAATTGCACTGTACCTAAAAAATACACTTTATAATATAATTAATATACTTTTAATATACTTGAAATAAGTATAATATAGTTCCTCTTTATAAATAAATTTATCCCTTATTCCAATGCAATTATTTTTTGGTGTGATGATAAAACTGATTTTAGATGAACATTCATAGATGGCAAATGTCCTCAACTGTGTGCTAAATAAGAGAAATTCAAAGTGCACAGGTGGTAAACCACATTAGAAGAAAAAGTGAAATTTAATTATAAAATTTAATTATAAAATTCAAATAGAATTCAAATGCTAAAGAATCTCTAAAATTAATTGCAATGTGATCTTAATGAGGTACAGCTGATCTTTCTGACATGTACTCACACAGAGTTCTCTGACCAAGCCAAACAACAGGCCATAGGAGCCATACTCATGAAAGAAACTTAAGAAAAATCATTCAGCCTAAGTCTAACATAGGATTTTAGAAATACTAAATTATCAAGTTATTTAAAGAAAACAGAAGCAATGATCCATGTTGCTTTTTTTACTTTAGTAAATAACACATTCACTGTCACTTCAACCATTAAATAAGAAACAATACATCAAATCATTTTTCCATGTGCTAAAACGTTCGACTACATTATCGAAGAGAGACAATGGAAATTCTGTTTATAAGGTTTTTAAAGGCAAGGCAGACAGCTAGAGATAAACAGGGATTAAGCCTAGAAGATCTGTCAAAAAGCTCTCTAGCTTTTGAATCCTATGTCCCTAACCTGAACAAGACTCTAAAGTCATAAAAATTCAGGGGCCTTCTAGTAGAGAGATATATTTTTTCCATTCATTATACTCCTCTTCTAAGACAGGCTAACACAGGGATCCAGACAACTAGTGCAGAATTTTCCAATTAATGCAGCTTCTAACAGCACTTATGAGGCTATCTCCACCAAACAATGTAAAAAGTTCAAAGGCTATTAGCTGTATGTTTGTAGAGATGAGATACACATCTGAGATTGGCTTTTAACTATTTAAGCAAATAAAAAAAGAAAAGGAAAAGGGATAGGTAAAGGTAAATCTAGGGGATAGGTACATAGAGATTTACTGTATCATTCTAGTTTTGTGTGTGCTTGAGAATTTTCATTAAGATAAGACTTTAAATAAAGAGCTTTAGGTAATACAGCTCATCATCAATACAGGTCTATGGGTCTATGAACAGGACAGAAAGCTTTGCTGAAAGAAAGTTAGGCTGGCCTTAAATCTGGGGCCCTTACTAGGTTTTAAAAAAATCCATTTCACTCATTGTTCTCAAAGGAAGGAAATAACACAAATCCCTGTACTATCCTGGGGTGTGGAATCTGTGTCAACGGTACATCGTTTAACTTAGACTAACATGAAAGAAATCTAAAAATTATAGAAAAGAAACATTACCATTTTATAGTCTGAGGCTGAACACACAGGCTGTATTACATGGAAGGACACGGATTTGGATTCTGGATTAGCTTTTCATTTGGGGAAGACGGGGAAGGGTGTTAATTCTAAGTATCTGGATTCTCTGATCATTGTCTCAGATCTGATGAGTTTTCTTTATGGACATTTAACACTCTACGCTGTTGGTTACAGAAGCAAGCAGATGGGGGCCTTCATCTGGAGCTTGTACCTCACACAAAATGAATTCTGTGTGACAACGATACAACCTTCACCTTCAGAGAATACAAGGTACATTGTGCAGAGGCTTCACCCTCCCTGGCCCCTTCTCCATTCCCCTTCTTTCCTGAAGGACTTCATATACCAGAGCTT